CATAAGCCCAACACGCCCAACACATGTATTTCTTTTAAAGAAAAGGGAGTGTAATGAGCCGAATCACAAGCGCTTCTCTTATTGAATCCTCTTATATTTCTAGTTCTTTAAATTAGAAAAATACTAAGCCAATCAGGGTCCAAGTGCTAGTTACGCATGGCAAAGCATTCCTCTTGAAATGGTTTGGAGAACTTTAAATTTTATTTTTCCAATATTCATTAGTCATTGTCGTCGACATTATAAATTTATCTATTTTATCAATTTAGAAAATTATTGGTATACACTCGATTTAACATTTTTTTATATTCATCTCGGTTCAATTATTTAAATATAATATAATTATAATTAGTTTTTAAATTTTGTATATATGATTAAATTTTTAAATTTATCTGTTTTACACTTCAAATGAAAAATAATAATTTTTTAATAAATTTGTTATGCAACATATTAAATTAGTGTGTTAATCACTATTTAAAATTAAAGTAAATAGTTCGCTTTAAAATTTTATTTTAAAAAAATCAGCCTTAATTCAGCAACACAATTATCTTTTTTGTTAAACTATTATTCTCGGAGTTTGAAAAAGGTTGATGTTCGACTATTAAATTTTGATTAATTTTTTTAAAATAAAAAGTTTGGGTGGTGATTTAGTTCAACCCTTTTATTGAGTACTAATTTACTTTAATTCAAAAATATTAAGGAGTCATTTGCTCATTTTATCTTATCAATCTGTATAAAGAGATGACCGAGTGTTGTTATTTATTTATTTTTGTGTAAATTGGGAGTAATGTTTACATTTCCAAAATCGTGCTTTGCCGAACGGTGGAGGCTAAGAATACCGACGCTATTGCTTTACAATCATTATTGACAGACCAGCAAAGTGCTTTGCGTGGGTACATTTGTAATGGGAATAAAAGGAGCGTAGAGCAATTCTTCGACCACAATCCCAGTGCAAGTTCTGATCAGAGAATATTAAAGTCTGCCCTTGATGTTGCAATTACCGCTGACCAGGAGGACATAGCACGCTTCCTCTGCAGAAAGATTGATTCGCAAGAATTTTCACGTGAAAACTATGGCTTCATTCTTCTTGAAGAGTGTATAACTAAGCAAATGTTCGGTAAGAGCTCTAATTATTATTTCTTTTCTTTCTCTTTGCTTTATAATTGTTATTTTACTTTTCTCTAACAAAACTTTTTGATATCAGAAATTGCATGGGATTTACTCAACCGTGTTCGAGGGTTAGTGTTTACACCATAAATTGCAAAATTTTAAATTAATGCCACGTGTAACATTTTTATTAGCTGGAGGAGTTTGAGCCATGTCAGATTCGGATTCTGGGCCCCATGACAGATCAGCACATGTGTTGGCAAGATAGGAGAGGTAAAGATAATGTTTTATGGAGTAATTATCTTCTTGAAACAGAAAGAGATAATGGCAGCTGGAAAATAAGGGAAGATCACAGTTAAAAAGGGGATTTTATCTGATAAAGTACAGGTGGCGAAATCTGAAAGGAGATTAGACTAGGTCAAAAGGTAAGGTGTCCCACTACTCCAAAAAATCAGCCATGATTGAGTAACTGCCGGCACAAAAGGAACAAAAAGGAAACTTTGGCAAGAGGAACACACGGCCAGCCCTACTCAAACATCTGCAAATTTTCATACTTGGATTTTCTCTGCACATGCTTCCAGATTTCGGATTTCAGCACAGATTTCAGATTTCAGCACAGATTCCATTAGAATTAGGTTGTTTTTCATCATTCCAGTAGACAAATTAATTCCTATATTCAATTAAACAATTTCCTTTCATGATATGAACTTCAATCCTTCAAGTTTATGCAAGGTATTGTTTTCTTTTCATTTGTAATTAATTTAATGTTTATGTTAAGTAGCATTGCTTCAATGATTACTTATGTGGCTTTCATGCTTCTTTCCAATTTCAAGTTCTTCAATTTCTTCACTGTTCACGTTTAATTTTAGTGCTAATTTAGGAGTAAATTTCCAGTTCTGCAGCAATTTAATTCCCGAATCTATCAATAGATTGCATTTTAATTTTATCATAAGCATGTTTAATTTAATTTGGGTACATTTCTTTCTCACAAGTTTATTTTAAATTGCAAATAATTTAGAGTAATTAGGATCTGTTAATTTTAAGTCACGGTAGTGTTTTAAGTCCTTGGAGTTGTCCAAGGCAGATTTCGTAACCCATTCTGCAGGAAGGTATCCCTCCCTCTTGCAAATTGTCTGAAGGCGCAATTTCAATTTTAATCCAACGTTCTTCCCACCATCTACAAAGAGGTCGACCGTGAGGAAGGAGAGGGTCGTTGGGAAAGTCCTCCTTTCTTACTTTCAGCAAAGTAAGTGGCACGCCCGCATCCAGATTTCACACGTGCGAGGCCACTAGAGGATTTTTGAGGAAACAATCCTTTTTTGGCACGCCCAGTGGGACCTCATCGTGTCTTACTTACAGTTTTCAGATCCGTTGTTCTTTTTTCCAAGAAAAAGTGCAATCATGCCACCAAAAAGAAACCTTGGGAAGGCTGTTCAGACTTTACAGATTGGGCTTGGTGAAGGCAGTCCAGCACACTCAGAAGGAGAGAATGAGCCAATCCTTCCACCACCATTGTCACCAATACTTAGGGAGCACTCATTTGTCAATCCTACCTTCAACAAGGATAGTGAATCTGGAGATGATGTTGCTCAATCTGGTGATTCCCTTGTGAAAGCTGTGTCAGATCAGATTAGCATCATAAGGCACACATTGATGGAATCTGAGGAGAAAGCTCGACAAAGAAGCCAAGAGGTTTCTAGACAATTGGATGAGTCTTTTCAAAATCTGGCTCAAATTTTGGCTCAAAGTGTAGCCCAAAGTGTAGCCGACATGCGGCGATCCAATGAAGAAAGTAACAGAATCTGGAGCGAGCAAAATGCAGAAAATTGGAGAGCTTTCCAAGCTGAAACGGAACGAATGCAAGAGGCATTTCGACGTGTCAAAATTGAGCCTCAGCCACAAGTAGCAGATCTTCAAAGGCAGAATCATAATATTCCAGCTCCAGCACTCGGGGGGCAAGTTAATCTGCCACAGCCACCTCCCCAGATTCAGCAGGTAGCAGGCGGACCAGTGCAGCCAGATCCTGTTGAGGCTGCACCACGTGTGGCAGATCTGGGAAATCACTAGCATCCTAGATATCTCCCACCTCCTCGCCGACCAAATGGAGGACATCAACAACATAATGCACCTCCACAAAGGGAGCATTTTCAGCCTTGTGTGCCACCCGTGCAGCAAAATCTTCCAAATCTGCCAGGACAGTACATCAATCGTGATCAGATCATCGACATGGTGCAGGAGGCTTATGGTCCAGTTTTGAGGCCTCTAGTCAGACCAGCTTACAGAAAACCATATCCAGATTTCATAGACCAAGAGAATCCTTTTCCTAGGGGGTTCAAAGTTCCAGAATTCACTCTATTTTCTGGAGATGGTGGATATTCTACAATTGAACACATAGGCCGCTTCACAATTCAGTGTGGCGAGGCCTCCGGTGATGATAATTTGAAGCTCAGACTTTTTCCCAGCTCTCTAACTAGTACAGCTCTCACCTGGTATCTGAGTCTGCCACAGAATTCAGTTTATACTTGGAGGCAGATGGAAGATCTTTTTCACATCCAGTTCTACCGCAGTGAGCCGGAAGTGTCCATGGCAGATTTATCTCGTTTGGTGCAGCGACCTGGAGAAACATCTGAGGCCTTTCTGGCCAGATTTCGGAAGGCCAGACTTAAGTGCAGAGTTGCCCTGCTAGAACAGGAATTTGTTAAGCTGGCACAAAATGGTCTGGACATTGAATTGAGGAAAAAGTTTGAGGGAATGGAGTTTCGTGATTTCTTTGAGTTGTCTTACAAGGTGGCTCGTTATGAAAATTTATTGTGAGAGGACACACAAAGGAAATCTGCATCTCATGGGACTTATTATGGTGATGCTAACTTTGATCTGGACGTGGCAGAAGTGGTGGCAGACAAGCCTATTGTTTGCCCAGATTTGGTTAAAGTGGCTCAGCAGACTGACAAAACAGTAAAACGTTATGTCGGAGAGGCTGGAAAACAATACACCTTTGACATTTCAAAAACTAATGAAATTTTTGACCACCTTAAAAAGAGTGGTCTAATTAAGTTGCCGCCGGGACATAAAATCCCAATGGCTGGCGAAATTGGAAATAGAGAATATTGCAAATATCACAATTCTTGGAAACATTCCACTAATGATTGTGTGATTTTTCGGAATGTTTTACAGGATAAAATCGACAAGGGAATTCTACGTTTTCCAGATAAGGCCAAAGAAACTATGGGAGTTGATGCAGATCCATTCCCTACCATGTCTGTTGGGGTGAACGCGGCAGATCTCAGGAGCATCGCCAGGGACAGAACTCAGACATATTATAGGCGCAGACTTGCAGTTGATGATCTGAGGTGGGTCATTGAGGAGGCCAGGGCCTGTAGAAATTAGGTCAGATCAGGCTCATACCAAAGGAGACAGCTCGGGGGGCATAACTCAACTCAACAGAAAAATAATGCAAATCAGGGAACTGCGATATCTGGACGCGCAGAAAAGCTCAGAATGGTGAAGCCACCACCCAGATCTCCAAGCAAACGATGGGAACGTGTGGTGCATCCAAAATTTCCTAAGGGTCAGAATCCAAGGACCTTGAGGAGGCGTTTACAACGCAAAAAGGCCGCAGAAAGACACCGATAGCAGATTACAGACGCGGGGGGCATGGCAGATCAGGCACAGCCGCTCCCAGCAAGAAGAAAATCAGTGTGGGTCCGTAAGGAAAAAGGGAGCACATCTTACCAGAATTCTCCAGAAAAGGAGGAACCACCCAGAATTCCAACATCACCTCGAATTCTGGCTGTGGAATCAAATGAAGAAACCGGTTTGAAGGCAAAGTTTGATGTGTCAGATAAAGCGAAAAATTCATCAGATGTAATCTGTTTTGGTGAGTTTTCCATGAATTTATCTTGTTTGGTGATCACTCTTCCTTTGGTCTTTCAAGCAAGAGAGCAGTCAGAATCTGTAGTCTGTCACCAGACAGATTTGACTGAGGAGGAAGAAGTCATTGAGATCCCAGCTAAGGAAGAGGGTGGCATGGATTCAGCAGATAAAATCATTTTCGAAAAACCAGAAGAGAGGATGGCCAGGCACATTAGGCCATTATACATTCATGCACATCTGGATGGTATGCCAATAAATCGAGTTCTGGTTGATAATGGAGCAACTGCCAATGTTTTGCCAACTTGTATTCTGCACAAAATTGGCAAATCTTTGGGTGATTTAATGGAGACAGAAGTGACAATCAGTGACTTTACTGGAGGAGTAAATCGCTCAAGGGGAATTCTGCCAGTGGAGCTTACCGTTGGAAATAGAACTCTCATGTGTGCATTCTTTGTGGTTGACACCATTGCCACCTATAATGCATTGCTTGGGAGAGATTGGATACATTCCAGCTGGTGCGTTCCTTCAACTCTGCATCAAAAATTAATGTTCTGGAATGGTGGCAGAACTGAAGTCGTGACAGCAGATGACAAACCGTTTGTGGCAAGTACCAATGCAGTGGAAGCTCGTTATTATGATGAAGATATTGGGACTATCCGTTTCTTTGGGATGGACCGCTATGGCAGACCTTCTGGAATTACTGCCTGCACCAGATCTACAATGGACAGACAGACTGTGAAGGAGGTGTGTGATGAACTACTTCGGCCTACAGCCATTGTTCCTTTTAGGCCGAGGGAGGAACCTGAAATCGAAGAAATTCCATGAAGAAGGATCGAATTAAGCACCAGAAAAAGGAGGCCGTGGAAGAAATCAAGAGAAAATTAGCGGCTTACCTTGCTGAAAAACGAATCTGTGTAGACAGATCTGAAGTAGTCTATGAAGGTGAAGAGGAAGATTTGAAGGATCAAATAACACTAGAGGAATTAGATCTGGCACCGGCAAAACTTGATGATCTGAAGGCAGAAGTACAAGATCCCCTGGAGGAGGTAAATCTGGGTACTGAGGCAGATCCGAAAATTACTTTTATTAGCGGTTCTCTTGAGCCGTGTTTGCATGATAAAATTATCACTATTTTGCATGAGTACAAAGACTATTTTGCTTGGGACTATTCTGAAATGCCAGGTCTGGACAGAAATCTGGTAGAGCACAGATTACCAATTAGATCAGATTTCAAGCCTTTTAAACAGCCGCCTAGACGAATGTCTCCAGAAGTCACCTTAAAAGTTAAAGAAGAGATAGAGCGGCTGTTAAAGGTTGGTTTCATCAGAACTTCCAGATATGTGGAATGGTTATCTAATGTGGTTCATGTGGTTAAAAAGAATGGCAAGCTGAGAATCTGTGTAGACTTCAGAAATATAAATCTGGCAACACCAAAAGATGAATATCCTATGCCTATTGCAGATTTATTGGTGGATGGTGCAACACGCCACCGAATTCTGTCATTCATGGATGGCCACAGTGGGTATAATCAGATTTTTATAGCAGAAGAAGACATTCCAAAGACCGCTTTCCGCTTCCCAAGAGCTATTGGTACGTATGAATGGGTAGTAATGCCATTTGGTTTAAAAAATGTGGGTGCAACTTATCAAAGAGCCATGAACGCCATCTTCCATGACATGATTGGTCGTTTTATGGAAATTTATATTGATGATGTGGTTGTGAAATCAAATGAAGATGAAGAACATCTGGAGCATTTAAAGCTGGCTTTTGAAAGAATGAGGAAGCATGGTCTGAAGATGAATCCATTAAAATGTGCATTTGGCGTTTCTGCTGGAAATTTTCTAGGATATCTGGTGCATGAGCGAGGTCTGGAAGTGGATCAGAACAAGGCAAGAGCTGTTATTGAAGCATAGTCGCCAAGAAGTAAAAAGGAATTACAAAGATTCCTTGGGTAAGTAAATTTTCTGAGACGTTTTATCTCAAATCTGGCAGGAAAAACCAGAGTTTTTTCGCCACTGCTGAAGCTGAAATCAGAAGCAGATTTCAAGTGGGAGAGACACCATCAGACCGCCTTTGAGGAAATAAAGCATTATTTATCAAAGCCGCCAGTCTTAGTGCCTCCTTTAAGAGGCAAACCTTTGATTTTGTACATATCTGCCGCAGATGAATCTGTAGGATGTCTGCTGGCTCAAGAAAATAGTAAAAAGCAAGAACAAGCTGTTTATTATTTGAGTCGAAGTCTGTCACAGACCGAAGTGAAATATTCTTCGGT